GTAAAAATTTATATTTTCTTGCGTCATACTCACCGGCCCTGCTTCGTAGAGTGCCTGAATTATATTCATGAATATATTGGTCAAGGGTTGACTGAACGCTATCAGGATGGTGGTGGAAGGAGTTACACCACTATTGCTCGTCACTGGCTTCATCAAGTCAGCCAGAAGACGACCAAGCTTATTGAATTCACATGTCGAGGTCGGCATTGCAGACTTTGCGAGCCTTGCGTACCTGTTTAATACAAACACTCATCCCGTATCTCTGGCGTTCTTGGCACTGTCTGTGGTCCTGGATGGGGATATGCCTCGCCTTAGTATTGCTGGCTCGACGATATCATAGCTTCCAGGCCTAACGAAGTCAGACATTATGACTTGTCGTAAGGTACCTCCGGTATAAGAGTTTGTGAGATGATTGACCAAAACTCGCCGAGAGTCAGTCAGCCAACTCCCCTAACTCCATGTTTCCCCGATTCTTGTAACTGCGCCGTGTCATGACAAAGAGCGGAACGGCGCTAATGCAATTGGATTATTTTATGGGTCCAGAGCCGGTGCCCGGGCCCGGAGATGCGGGCAACACCCATGCTGTGATGCCGAGAGCGAACGTGTAAGTCGACGAGAGGGTTGGTTTTTTGGTGCATTCGATTGTCTTCCTCTTGGAGCTCTGTGTTGGACTGAGAAGTATAAAGGGCTTGCTAGACCATGATGAGAATCCCTTCTCTAACTCCAGCATTCACATCACTCACACCCTCTTACAACCTCTTACACGCTCAAGAGCTTGTTCTGATCGTCTTCTTCTATCATTCACGTTACTCTCCACATCAATATCTAGCTTGCTTCCACCATGGAATCTATGAAATATGTGCGGTAGGCTCTCCACATGTCCAACTACCCTAAGCAACTGTCTCTAACATTCTCAATAGCGTGGGCAAATCCGGCCTCAAAGTCTCCCAAATCATTCTCGGCTGCATGAGCTTCGGCGACAAGAACTGGCAGCCCTGGCTTCTCGACAAGGACGAGGCCCTCCCCATTCTCAAATACGCCTTTGACCGCGGCATCAACACCTGGGACGTGGCCGACACGTACTCCAATGGCCGCTCCGAGGAAATCGTTGGCGCCGCCATCAAGGAGTACAACATCCCGCGCTCCAAGCTCGTCGTCATGTCCAAATGCTTCCAGTTCGTCGACGAGAACAAGGGGCCCATCGACCCGGCCAATTTGACCAGCAACGAGGGGCCCCGCGTGAATCAGGTCGGCCTATCCAGAAAGCACATCTTCGAGGCCGTGGAACGTAGTGTTGAGCGTCTCGGCACCTACATTGACGTGCTCCAGATCCACAGGATGGATCGCGACGTGCCCCCTGAGGAGATTATGAAGGCCCTTCACGATGTTATTGAGAGTGGCAAGGTCCGCTACATTGGCGCCAGCTCAGTGAGTCTTCGACAAGGACGCTTCTCTCACTGTTCACCTCCAGTCACTAACAATCAGCAGATGGCCGCCTGGGAATTCCAAATGCTCCAAAACGTAGCAGCCCGCAACGGCTGGCACCAATTCATTTCAATGCAAGGCCTCTACAACCTCCTCTACCGCGAAGAAGAGCGCGAGATGAACGCCTACTGCAACGCCACCGGCGTCGGCCTCTTTCCCTGGTCGCCCCTCGCCGCCGGCGTCCTCACGCACGCGTGGACCGACCGTTCGGACCCGCGCGAGCAAAAGGACCCCTTTTTGCAGATGCTGTTCCGCGGCGCGGAGAACGGCGCCGACAGGGCCATTGTCGGGCGCGTCGAGGAGCTGGCGGGGAAGAAGGGCGTGAGTATGGCGCAGGTTGCGCAGGCGTGGCTTATTTCAAAGGGGTGCATGCCCATTTGCGGTTTGGAGACCAAGGAGAGGATTGATCAGGCTGTGGGCGCTTCAAAGATCAAGCTGTCTGAGGAGGAGGTTAGGTATCTTGAGGAAGCGTATGTTCCGAAGTTGCCCATGCCTTTCTAGGTGTTGCAATTACTGTGGTGCCGTATTTGGGGGAAAGTTCAGTCAATCAAGTCAGCTAATTGCCCTTGTCCTGTTCCCTTCAAGATCCATACGTGTGAGCAGTTGTAAGTAGGGATGGTCTTAACATGTGATTTACTTTCCCCATACCTACCGAAGTTCCAGAAATTCCATGTAAGTGCAGCAAGTTCCGACAATTGGTAACACAAGAAATTCACAAAGCCCTTCATGCAGGCAGATCCTCACATCTGTCCCGCATCGGCATCGGCAAAATGCACGTCATGCGCCTGAACAGAAGCAGCAGCTCAGCAGGAATTCCCCAACCTGCAAGAGTGACTATCGAGTCTAGCGTCATCATCTAGACAATGGTGACTTGATGTCTCGGATGTTGATTCGCCGGGCTCGCTCGCCGCTAAGATGAGTCTCGCGGGGGTTTGACCTCTTAGCGGATTCGGTACCAGCAGAACCCCTCGGCTGGAATTGGAGGAAACCAGACAGACACTGCCAGATAAGGGAATCTGACGCCATGGTCGAATAGACACCGGAAAAGGTCAGCTTTTGGGCATGGGGGTCAGGCTCGCTCTGCACTTGCGACATTGTTGTTTAGCTCAGCCTCGCCTTCAGAAGTGTCGCGACTTGCAACATCTGTAGTCATTGATATAAGTGACAATGGAAGTTTCAAGTGGAACAGATGAGAGGCATGAGCCGCCGGCAGAGGGATCCAACGAACCCAACGAAGAGCAAGGCAGCCTCCGAACGGTGCAATCTACGGTTGACGATGATCGATCCAGCAGACTGACGTCGAGCGCGCTCGACGAGCTCAATGCGTCGCACATTGACAGCAGCACTTCTGTGTCGCTAAGCATCGACACAGACATCAGCGACGCCGACTCGGCCATGGGAATTGATCCTGGCCGCGCCTCTTCGTCCGCCTCGGTGGCATCGAGCGTGTATCGCTTCGTGGAAGAGTTTGGCAGGACGTATCACGCATATAAAGAAGGAAGTAAGTCTGCGCGACCGCATGCAGAAACTTACCTTTTGGAAGCGTGCTGACTGACACCTCGCCCGCAGAATACTTCCTCCCCAACGATGAGGTTTGCGAAGTCCCCTTACATGCGATACTGCCAAGCCCGTGAGTGAAACTAACACACCTCCGAGCAAGAGCAAAGCCGCCTAGACCTCCAACACGCCATCGCCCTGCGCATCTTCAACGACAAGCTCGGCCTCGCCCCCGTCTCCAATCCCCACCGCGTCCTCGACATCGGCACAGGCACCGGCATCTGGGCCATCGAGTTCGCCGACAGGTACCCGGCATCGGAGGTCCTCGGCACGGACCTGAGCCCCATCCAGCCGGAATACGTGCCGGCAAACTGCCATTTCGAAATCGACGACGCCGAGGACGAGTGGGCGTTTAGCCAGAAATTCGACTACGTCCACGGCCGTTATATGTGCACCTCCATCTTTGACCTTCCTAAACTCTTTGGGCAGATCTACGAGAACCTCAACCCGGGCGGCTGGGTCGAGTTCCAAGAGACCGTCATCGACTTCAAGGCTGTGGACGGGTCGCTCGAGGGCACGGCGCTGCGGCGGTGGAACGATCACCTCCTCGAGGGGATCCGCAAGGCCGGGCGGGACGCGCTCTCTGCCCTTGAGTACGCGCGGCACATGACGGACGCGGGGTTCCATAACGTTGAGCAGAAGAGGTTCGCGGTACCGGCGTCGCCTTGGGCGAAGGGGAGGAACCAAAAGATTTTGGGCGCCATGCAGATGACGAATAACCTTGAGGGGGTGCAGGGTATCACGATGAAGATCTTTTGCCAGGTACTGGGCTGGACCCGAGAGGACGCCGAGATGTTGCTGATGGATGTGAGGAAGGATATGGCGGATAAGAATATCCACGCGTATATCACGACGTGAGTCCTTTCTTCGCGTTTGATGGTTATCTGCTACTCGCACTGACGATGATTGATGTAGTATGTCGGTTTGGGGGCAGAGACCCCAGGAACCGGGACGGTCGGCCGTCTGAAGAGACAATGTCTGTTTTCAGGGTAGTCTTCAGGTCTCTGAGGAGGCGGAAGAAGAAATGTCCTCAAATCCGTTGCGAATTAGAGTATCCGTATGGGGGACATGCATCATATCGTGTTGAAGCTCATCTCGTTCTCGCATCGCATTGAAACTCCGCCATGTTGCGGAGTCGAAGATGAAAAAGTGTTGCTGTTAATAACTTGCCGCGACAGCTGTCGTCCAAGACGTTGGGGCAGTTGCTCAGCCTATTATGCAAACACGATTCATGTTCCGTTCGTCTCATGTAAGAGCTACCTTGGCTGAAGAATGGACGTTTGATAGTGATGTGTGAACCCAAGCCAACCAAAAACCTAGCTGCAAACACGACCTTTACCACACCTTTAGAGTATTGGTTAGAGCCTTGGTATCCTCAGGTATGTGAAGGAGTGTGCGCGCGATACACGCATACCGCGGCACCCCCGAAGTGCTATCCGTCATGCCGTCTGGCCTTGTGGATTCGAGCCGAGGCCGTCGAGTAGGTGATCCACTTCCGATGGTCCCATACCGCCGTGGAAACACTGGGAAAACCGACAAGGAAAAGGGCGGTGCTATCACTCGTGTCACTGTGCCGTTGGGTTCCGTGATGTTCATGCCAAGTTGGCCGATGGTCCGGCGAATCTGTGCCGGAAAGGGCATCAACGCCGGTGGGGAGGGGCGCATCTTGGCTCTTGCCTCCTCTCCACGCAGCGGTACGAGATACATTCATCGGCGTTACAGCGACTCGGCCCATCGGCATTAAGACTTTTTTTTATTAGACTCTTAGTAAGCCATGTCTTCGATCAACTTGCCAATTCCAATTTCCACCATGTAACGAGGGCCAACTTGATCAAAAGAGACGATCTTCTTCGTCAAACTTGTTCAAACCCCACTCGCTCTGACCGATCCATCCATTCGGCTCGTCGTATTTGCAACATGCTAACCCCAGACCCTTGACCCCCCTCCAGAATGCTCGGATGCCCCTTCTGGCAAGGCATGGAAGCAGCCGGAGAGTTTATTCGCCCGCATTGCTTTGTCACCCCGGCGTAAACACTCTGATTGACAGACATACCGCGGGCGTACGCCGCACTTCTTCGAAAAAGAAGCTGTGGAGTTCTTTCCGTGGGACCGCTGTGAAGAATTTGTTGGCGCGGGGTTATAGTCTCTCTCTTTCACTGCCAGCTTACAGACATGAGCGAGTCATACCAAGAGCCAAAGGTACACGCTGTCAGGCCCGAATTTCAACCCCGACACATGTCACTCAGTCATCATTCTGCTTTGAAGAGGGCGAAGCATATGCCAGGGGCAGAACTCAGAGAAACCCATCACTGCCGTGACGTCAACCTGACCAATTGGCGGGGTGAAGCTCTTCATGCACTCCCTCCCCCCTTTCCGCACCTTAGCCAGCACATTCCGCTTCGTGCAAGGGGGATAAGCTCAATGGCATCTCGGACAAGCTGCTTGTTTCCCAATTGTGGGGTCATGGCCTGAAGATGATTACCATGATGGCCAGACCGTCGATGGAGCTACCCATGTGTATGATGGGGATGCGACGAAACTACAAAAGAGCTAGATGCCCCGCGCAAATAAACTGTTTGGAATAGAAGCTCAGTACTCTCAACTTTGATACCCAAGATACCCTCTCAAACCAAATCAAATAACTCTTTCATCAACTCTCTATCTACCCTTTCATACACACACACAACATCATACACAATGGCTCCCAAGGTTCTCATCGTTCTCACCTCCGTCGACAAGACTGAGAAGTCTGGCAAGCCCATCGGCTGGTACTTGGTACGTTCCCATCAACCGCTGGTCTTCCCACGTCAAGTTCCGGTGAGCTAACTGTCTATCCAGCCCGAGCTCGCCCACCCGTTCGATGTTCTCAAGGAGGCCGGCGTCGAGATGACATTCGCCTCTCCCAAGGGCGGTGTCGCGCCCCTCGACCAGGCCTCTGTCGAGATGTTCGCCAGCGACCCCTCCTCCAAGAACTTCCTCGAGAACCACAAGGCCATCTGGGAAAACACCGAGAAGCTCTCCAACTTTGTCGGCCGCGCCTCCGAGTTTGACGCTATTGTATGTTTCCCCCTCAATACAATTTTACCTTGGAACCAACAGCTAACACCACAACCAGTTCTACCCCGGTGGCCACGGCCCCATGTACGACCTCGCCTTCGACGCAACCTCTCACGCCCTCATCGCCGAGTTCGCTGCCCAAAACAAGCCCGTCGCCTCAGTCTGCCACGGCCCCGCCGCCATCGTCAACGCCAAGCTCAACGACGGCACCTACCTCGTCGCCGGCAAGACCGTCACCGGCTTCTCCAACACCGAGGAGGACCAGGCCGGCTTCACCCCCGAGATGAACTTCATGCTCGAGGACCGCCTCAAGGAGAACGGCGGCAAGTACGAGCTCGCCGCCGAACCCTGGGGCGAAAAGGTAGTCGTGGACGGCATCGTCATTACTGGTCAGAACCCGGCCTCCGCTCACGGCGTCGGCAAGGCCATTGCCAAGGCTCTTGGCTTGTAAGGAAAGCCCTCTGGAAGAGAACATGTCGTATGAAATATCATGAATGGGATCTAGGGAAGGTTATATAATTATGTCAAAATTTGAAGCGTTTTTGCCAAACCACAAAGGGACCCTCTGCCAAACTCAATTGGAACACGTCAAGTTGCCTCGTGATTGCGGATTTCCTATCGCTTAGAGTATTAAGGAGTCGTTTTCTCGGGCTGACAAGAAAACACACACCATGCATCGTCAGGCCTGGGCAACTGGAAAACTCAGATCCTTGACAAATAAACTCATACGGCGCACATTGATTGTATCATTGGAGTCCAAAAGAAACAAACTACTAGTACTTTTTCCATTCGTCACTAACTTTTCTTTGACAATGCGATACACCATTACGAACGACGACTGAAACTGAGTGATGCATCTGGCACACTCGCAAACGCCCATTTCCATCTAATGCAAAGTGGTATGCCTTGATCTCCGGACACCTGATTATACAGTCCACCCATTCGATACTTTCCCCTCCTTCCTGGGGCTCCAAGAGCTTGTCCACAAACGCCAAGACATAAGAAATAAAACTCCAAGCCTTTGGTTTCAATGGCCTTTGTCGCCAATGAAGAGTTCAGAAGCTGAAGCAGGGTGGAGCAGGCCAGCAGTCCTAGTCGCCGTCGAGCAATGCATCCATGCCGTTTCGCTCACTTTCAAGGCTCTCCGCTGTGATGGGGCCATCAAAGGTCTCCTGCTTCCTCTTGACTTCGTCATCATCTTGGTTTGTAAGGTCATCAAACATCTTGTTCACAACTCGCTCATCTTCTTGTGAATGGGGCGCAACATCCCTGCCGTTGAGCATGCCAACGTCCCCTTTGAACACGTCGGGACCGAACATCTCTACTGCCCTCTTACGGCCAACTTCTGTCCGGCGCAGTATGTCAAGGGCGTGGTTCCTTCCAGCCTCGGTGTGCAGGTTAAGCCCATCTTCTTGACCCTGGAGGAGGCGTTCTTCAAGAGACATCGAAGAGTTGCCGCCGACAAGCTGGGGGCCCGGTGCACCATTAGACATGAAGAGGCCTGGGTGAAGTGTCGGAGCACTGTCAATGTCCATGGGATCATGATTGCTTCCAATGGATTGACGGCCCACATTGCCGTGGGAGGTAGAAGGAGGCGTTGCAGACGATTGTTCCGACTTCCGACTGTGGCCATGTTGAAGGCCAGGTGGCAGCACAGTTGCGCCAGACGCAGAAGTGGCAGCCGCTGCTGCAGCGGCGGCAGCGGCAGCTTCGGCATTCTGAGCCTTCCGCTTCAAGCTGGCAGCCTTGGCCTTCATGTTCTCCGGGAGGTCCTCTGCATCGTCCACCCCAAACTGCGCCAAAAGCTTTTGAAGCTTGGTCGGTCGCGGCTTCCGAGTACTCTTGGAGACCTCAAGAACCGGCGGTGCGTTTGGTGCAACAGGGCACCACTTGTGCAACTCTTGCCTGAAGAAGTTGGTCTCGTAGGCAAGCAAGATTTCAGCGCCTTCAATCTTCCGCAAGTAAAAGCGCTGGGTGTCCGCCTCAGACTCAGTGGAGACCACAGGATTGCAGTAGCCGGTGATGTGGTTTCTGAAGTCCTGAGCATTGTCGATGATCTTGGTAAGGACCTCCTCCTCCTCGGGCTGGAATGGGAGGCTGGGAATCTTATCAGACCAAGCAATGAGCTCTTCGATCTTGGGTCGCGCTGCATCTCGCGGAATCTTAACCCGCCAATCGCAAATGGGGCACGTGTACTTGTCTTCGTCCTTGACCTTGCCGCGAGCAATCTTCAGACATTTGCCGTGGTACCTAGAGACGTTAGCTAATTGAGTAGATCTTAGAAGGCCACATCAAAACATACCATTCATGACAGAGCTCGCACTCAATCATCATGCCAGCCTCCACCTTTCGGCAAATGCAAAATACCTCGCGGAACCGAGGGTCCTCCCAACGGTGCACCTTTTGGTCGGGACTGGCTTCCCTCGATGCAGGTTCGGCAGGCATGCGAGGCTTGTCATTGACAATGTCAAAGCAGTCTTGATTGCGTTCCAACACGTAGTCCATGTGGCTCTTGAGAATATGGAGCGGTGCATTGGTTTTGCCAAATAGCTTCTTACCCTCTCGCATCCAGTCCTCGTGACGTTTCTGCTCCCGCTCGAGGTCCAAAGTCCCATTGGGTTTCGAATTCAGCTCATCGAGTCGGCGCATGATCTCAGCCACCTCTGCGTACTTGGGTCGATTGCGGATGTCCCGGTCTCGTGATCTTTCAGTCAAGTCCATGATCTGACGGTGTGCCTCCCTCTGCTTGTAAAGAATCTGGTCGACAGCATTCAGGGTTTCCGCAGTGACCGGTAGGAAATTGGCCTGGACCTGCACCGATAAGGCCTCCAGCTGTGGGTAATGGATGACCTCTGCGATAATCAACTCTCTAGCCTTCTTCTCCCATTGTTGACCAGCAGTCATCTGTTCAATGTAGTAGACGAGATGATCGTTGTATGGAGCAATGTCCAATCTCTTTCCTTCGTCGATGAGCTCGCGCACCTCGTTGAGTGACATGAGGCTGTTTCGGTTGTTACGAGCCTTCTCGCCCCACTTGAGTTGTTCAAGGACTCGCGAGAGTCGGTCGACTTCTGGCGTGTCGACATTGAAAGTCCGGCCCTCCTCAAGTAGGTCTTCGATTTCGGAGAGCTCGGCGAGGTGGATCTGTTCCAGCGCTTTAGCGGCATTCTTTCGGAAGGCCTCGATGGCCTCGACCCGCTCCCTCAGCTGGGTGATCTCAGGGCAGTCAAATCCTATTTGCTCCGCCTCATTGATAAGACGGTACACGTTGGAAACATTGCGCGCATCGCGTTCCTTTTGGTCCAGCGAGTTCTTTCGGTTGTGAATGGACTTTTCGCTCTTGCGCCTGTTTTGCTGCTTCCGGATCGTGTAGTTGGTGGCCTCCTCCACCCACTCGTTGCACCGATCGACAAATTCCCGAAGCAAAGGGAGCGAGGGTAGGTCATGGGGTATTTTCTCACCCTCGTGTAGGAGATTCCGAAGAGTCTTAAGAGAAGGCATGGCCTCTTCTTCCAGAAGCTTGTCGTACTTCTCTTCCCAGGCCTCTGGCGTACGCGCCTTTTCAAGAACCTTGCCGTATGTTGCTTCAATGTCCTCCTCGGACTGTCTGTAGATGACAGCATGTCCTTCGCCGTGGAAGCGCTGGTGCTCGGTTGACTCGCAGCATGGCTGATAACCTGCGTGTGCCAGGCAAAGAATTTTGCCGGACTTGAGGCACTTGAATCTAGAGAGGTACGTAAAGGCTTTGCAATACGAGCATTGATACTCCTCTTCGGGCACGTCCGTATCGTCAATTTCAAACTTCAGAGGGCAGGAGGTGTCTTCTTTGCCAGCCAACGCACAATCGTGCAGCTGTGGCTCGAGGTGCTTTGCCACGAACTCGGTCCGGTGCGCGAACTCTCGTTTCTTGATGCGTTCGAGAGCGGGCGCAAGCCATTTTGCCGTCTGGATCGTCAAGCCGCTGTTTGTCGTACCTTCGGCGGCGGTCCACAACAACTCGTCGTGCGAGAAACATGGCTGTCTCCTGAATACTTGCAGTCTCTCCACACCGCCCAGCCCGAAGGGTTCCCAGTCACAAGGGGCAAAGTTGACAGCCTCGTTAAAGTTGAAACCATGGTTGAAGCCGGCGTGGTAAGCCTGGGGGAAGGTGATAACAAACTGACCCGCGCGCTGATCGAGTGCATAAACCCTGACGCCAGCCTTTTTCAGCTGCTCCGGGGTCAAAAGGGTGACCAGTTGGAACAAAAGGTCAGGCTGAGTC